CCATTTTGCCCCCCCAATTTCCCCCCCTCATTCTGGACCCCCCCAGATCGAGGGCGAGACGAGCGCCAAGCTCCCGGCCAGCCTGGAGCGGATCCTCAGCGACTGCCGCGCGCTGCGGGAGGAGAACGCGCTGCTGGCCGCCCGTGCCCGCCACGCCTGACCCCAAAACCGGGGGGGATCCGCACCCCAAAACCCCCCCAAACCTCAGCGGGCTGTGGGGGTGTCCCTGTAGCCCCCCCAAAATGCCCCCACAGCGGAGGGGAGAACCGTTCCTTTATGGTCTCAATAAATCCCGCTGCAGCAGTTTGGGGGTGTCGTGTTGCTCGTGGTGGGGAGGATTTGGGGGTGTCGTGTTCCTCCTGGGAGAGGGGGGGTCTTGGGGCTGTTTTGGGGGGGTCTTGAGGTGGTTTTGGGGTGGTTTTGGGGTTCCCATCAGCTCCGGTGGGGCATAAAGTACTTGAGCTCACAGTCCCTGCGGAGGTCAGAGAGCAGCGCGGGGTTAGCGGGGGGCTTTGGGGGAGTCACGCACCCCGCGGGTTTTTGGGGCGCTTGGGGGAGTTTTGGGGTGTCCGGGCAGGGGTTTTTGGGGTACCTGGGGTAGCGCTGGCCCCGCTTGCGCCGGAACTCGGCCTCGTCCACGGTCCAGACGGCGCCGCGGGCGGCCTCCACCCGCACGAAGCACTTGTGCAGGCTCAGGTTGTGGCGCACGGCGTTCTGGGGGGGGGGACACCCCAAAATCGGGGGGCTGGACAGCGCCCCCCCCACATTCCCTGAGGGATTTGGGGGGAGTCTGGGGGTTTTCAGGGTGTTAGGGAGGAGGTGGGGGTCTCTGAGGTGTTGTGAGTAGGGGGGGATGGTTGGAGAGGGGCTGGGAGAATTTGGGGTCCCCCCCCCTTTTTTGGGGAGTCCAGGGCAGCATTGGGGTCCCAGGGGACAGATTTGGGGGTCCCACCTGTGTAGTGGTAACATTTTGGGGTGCTGGGAGGGGGAAATTGGGGTGTCCCCAGTGGTGGTGATGGAGACACACGTCTGAACTCCAGTCACAATGCCAGTGCTGAAAGCCCTACCACACAAGTTGGAGAGGGGCTGGGAGAATTTGGGGTCCCTCCACTTTTTTGGGGAGTCCAGGCCAGCATTGGGGTCCCAGGGGACAGGTTTGGGGGTCCCACCTGTGTAGTGGTAACATTTTGGGGTGCTGGGAGGGGGAAATTGGGGTGTCCCCAGTGGTGGTGATGGAGAGTGGGGGAGGGGGGTCTCTGCTGGGGAGGAGGAGTTGGGGGGACCCCCAGAATGGGGGTGCAGGGGGGGGTGGAGGTGTCCCAGGGCTGTCTGGGGGTTCTGGGGGGTTCCCAGGGGTGTTTGGAGGTCCCGGGGTGGGTTCAGGGTGTCCCGGTGCTGTTCTTGGGGGTCCCAGGGTGGGTTCAGGGGGTCCCGGGACCTGTTTTGGGGGTCCCGGGGCTGTTTTTGGGGATCCCGGGGTGGGTTTTTTTGGGGGTCCCGGGGTATGTTCGGGGTGTCTCGGGGCTGGTTTTGGGGTTCCTGGGGTGTGTTCGGGGGTCCCGGGGTGGGTTCGAGGTCCTGGGGTGTGTTTTTCGGGGGTCGCAGGGCTGTTTTCGGGATCCCGGGGCTGTTGTTGGGGTCCTGGGGCTGTTTTCGTGGTCCCGGGGCTGTTTTTGGGGGTCCTGGGGCTGTTTTGGGAGTCCCAGGGTGGGTTCAGGGGGTCCCAGGGCTTGTTTTGGGGGTCCCAGGGCTCTTTTTGGGGTCCCGGGATGTGGTGACATTGCAGGGGCAGGAAAGGGTTGGGGACAGTTTGGGATGGCTTGGGGGGTTTGGGGACAGTTTGGGGGGGACACGGAGGAGGGAATCTGTGGGGACACTGTGGGGACACTGTGGGGACAATCCCTCCAGGGGAGAGCTGGGTTGGGGGGGGA